CACTTTAGAAGAATTGGAAACCGAAGCAACTATATCATCCGTTCATCAAACTCAAGTTTGTCCTCCAGACATTATTCTAAATCCTTCACTATGCACTGGTGTAGCTTTCGACAATTTTGATAGATACGTTGACACAATAAATGGAAAAGAAACCTTACATGATACTGTGGGAATTATTTATCAAAACATAGATGGTAATTCCCATAGTGAATTAAATGAAGATGATGATACAAATACAGAAGATATGTTGCCACCACCACCACCGTCGAAGAGAAGACGAACCTTAACAGAAATCATTCCAGATATTACTCCTTACAGCAAGCGATTAAAGATGATCGGTCGCTTAACACCAGTCCAAATTGATCAACCATCTCTACCTGAAAGTTCCTCTTTACTAGAAACAGTTGATCTATTGCATTTGCTGTCACATGTTTTTCACGTGCCAAATACACCGTCATGGACAGGATTTAACTGTCGAATTTTAGAAGACAACAGTATCTTACTTAACGCCAATCAATTTATCACCTACAAATGTCTCAGTGGTAGCATACACAATGGAACAAGCACAAAGTGTTGGTAAAGAGTGTGGTCAAGCTTATGTGCAAGTCTCATATGATTTAGCAATTGCTAAAATAGCTTTAAAAATTCAAGCAACAGAAGGTCTAAAATTTAGCAATCTTTTCATACATCTTGGCTCCTTTCATTTGATGATGGCCTTTTTTAAAGCAGTTGGTACTTTCATCGATGAATGCGGACTATCTCACATGATGATTGAGAGTAAAATTATCGCTTCGGGGTCAGTGAATGGAATAATTGAAGGTAAACACTTCAATCGTTGCAAGCGCTTGCATCCATTAATGGCATTAGGTTTACAAATTTTACATTTTGATCAATTTTTGAAAACCGAACGTGTTGAACACAATTTTGTAAAGGGACAAATTTATGAAGATCTTTTAGAATACCAGGACAAAAAAATATCGCAATAGTCAACGCTTCGAGATTTATTACCAAATGAAATTTTATCACAACTGCTCACGTCTTATCAACAATATATTGCAGAAACAAGGCAAGGTAATCATGGAAAAACAGCGCAGTTTTATATGATCTACATCCAGTTAATTCGTTATTACGTAAACTTGTCGAGAAGCATACGTATGGGTGACTTCGAAATGTTTAAAGCCGTGATTCCTAAAATGGCCAACTTGTTTTTCATTGTAAATCAACCTAACTACGCTCGATACTGTGTAAAATATGTAGATAACTTGAATAACGTCGCTGATACACATCCAGGTCTAGAGGATGATTTCAATAAAGGATTTTTCGGAGTCAAAAGAACTGATAAACCATTCTCAAGAGTACCAATAGATCTCACTCTCGAACAAACAACAAATGCTGATGCAGCTAAACGACTCAGTGGAATTTCACATTTCACTAATTCTATAGCAGCGCGTCAACGTTGGTCTAAAAGTCACAGTATCAGAGCTGCTTTAATCTCTCACGTTTTGGATATTTGTGGTTTAAGGTACTTACAAGATGTAACTGCAGATTTACAACCTAATCGAATGAAAATCTATGGTAAACAATTAGCCGATTTTGTTGAAGTTCTCGAGAAAAATTGCAACCCATTTGACCCTAGTTTAGATAGCGAAAATCTGTACAATATTGCTACTTCAAAGCCTGTGTCTCCTGAGGTTGCTGACTACTTAATCAGCATCGAAGAAAATGGTGAAGGTCTACGAAACCAGTTTATCAATGAATGTGCCGAGGATGAGAGTAGATTTGATAAGCCGATTAAAAAAAATCGAGTTTTAAATTTTACTGAAGCTCCAAAGAAAAAGAAGTTAGCTCTCGGGAATAAAGTTGTTGAACTGCGCATGCAAAGAGATTTATTTGGTCGAATGTTGGGAATTTCCCTTACTCACAAGGTTGACATTGAAAAAGTTTTGTCATTCCCACTTACTCCGATGCCAACGTCTATGTGTCATCCAGATGGTTCAATTTGTAAAACCGACAAAGCACAATTAACAAAATTGATGGAGAAGAAATTGGAAATTGCGATCGATCAACAGCCGTCATCTTTTGACATTAATATCGTTGATGGTTTTTTTATGTTGCATCTCATGAAAGAGATACCACAAACTTTTGATGGAATCGCTAAAAAGTTTCTTTCTGCGATCTCCCAAATGAAATCAGTTCGGATCGATGTGATTTTTGACCAATACTTTTCACCATCAATTAAGGATTTTGAACGTTCACGTCGAGAAGAGTCAACCATTCCAGTATCTATCGGTCCTAATCAAATTCGGCCACACAATTTCGGAGCAGAACTTAAAAACATGGAATTTAAAATAGCTCTAGTTAACTTTTTTATTGATCACTGGGATAGTGAAGACATGGTACCTTTTATTGGTAATAAAATTATTTATGTAAGTTTCAACAAATGTTATTCGTATAAAGTCTTGAATAACAAAGTTGTACGGAGTATCGAAGAATCTCTATCATGTGAAGAACACGAAGAAGCTGATTCTCGCATTATTTATCATATATGTCAAATTGATTTCGATGCCGACGTTGTTATACGCTGTTCTGACTCCGATATTTTAATTATATTACTGGGTAATATGGATCACCTCAATGCATTTTTGAAGATTTGGATTAACATCGGTGTAGGCAATCATCAGCGATACGTAAACGTTAATGAATTATACCGAATCCTTGGTGATTCTCTATCAAAGCTTTACCATGCTTCCACGCAATCACGGGGTGCGATTACACGCCAGCATTCTTTAGAAAAGGTAAAGTTAGACCTTTTAAAATTTTGGAAAAATCTAAAGAATATCAATCAGCGTTTGGAAACATAACTACGGATAACGAAGATTTACTTGACAGTACTTTTGTAATCCTTGAGAAGTTTGTTTGTCAAATGTATGGAGTTAAAAATTCTTCAGATGTGAATAGTGTTCGATTTCATTTATTCTCAAATACTTTTCAATCAAAAAAATCCGATGAAAATTTTGAGAAGAAATTTCGAAACTTTGACTCATCGAGTTTGCCACCCTGTAAAGCGGAATTGCAACAGCATTTATTGAGAGTGCGCTACGTGACTAAACTTTGGAGGAATGCTCACTTGAAACATCCAACTTCTTTATCTCCAGTTGCTTCCGGTTGGACCATCAAAGATAATAAATATGATTTTGTCTGGTTCCTGGGAGAGCAGTTACCATCATCAATTGCTGATATTATTATTCAAAGTAAGTATGCAATAGAATATCTATCAATAATCAGTAAAATATCATATAAGAAACGACAAAAACTGTACTATATTAACTTTTTTTTGTTACAGATAAGAGAGTTTTAAGAAATGATGACAATGACCAAGACGATGATTTCAATACTTCTAGCAATGAGAGCGACGATGATGACGATTGTGAAGATGCATCCTTCGTTTGTAATACGATTATGGAATGAAATATTTAAAAACTAAAGAAGAATTCTTAATATTTTTAATTTGTTATTTATGTGTGTTACCTGAGCATTATAAATAAAAAATTTAATTTTTAAACCTTCAATAATGCATTTTAATTTTTTCGTTTTTGACTAGAATATATTCTAATATAATTTTCTTCATATTTCATTTTTTCCATCAAGATTTGTAGTTTTGTAATGATTTTCCGTCTTCTTCTCGGCAGTATATCTTACAACTATCTCTCTCTAACTACTAGCACGACGCTGTGTGGATTTCTCAGGTTTGTCGTTCTTTTTCAAGGTTTAGCAATCGAATTAATGTTTGGCAAATTAATTTTAGGTTTTTATATATTCAAATAATGTAATATTAAAATGACAGACGTACTATAATGATTTGAAATTTAAAAAAAAAAAAGATCGCGTATGGCATATCATTGGCAATGATAAAAGTGTCTGGCAATAAAAAAATAGTGTTTGGTAAACCTATCTAAAGATAAGAAATTAAAAATTTAGCTTCTTGAAATACTTTCAAAACCTTGGATTATTACCTGTACAGGTAGGATGCGCACTAATGAACGCAACCGCTACCGCCAGCCAGATAGCCTAGGCTCTACCCAAAAGAGGAAGAAGGATAACATATCAAAAAATCAGCTGACCTGAAATTGTTGTTTTCCCGACGTTACTAGCTCCCGGACTATTATATAAGCATTCCTACAGATGTCGCTAAAATAATCAATGAAGAATTTTCTATACACTGAAAATATGTATCAGATTAATGACTGAAAATCCACATATTCACGAAAAATATTAGATATTTTTTCAAAATATAAAGTTCATATTTAAAAATCTTTCCTCATGTATTTTCTAAATATTTGTAAAAAATATCGCAAAAATATATGATTTATATATACCGCAAATATCTATGATGAATATTTTATAAATATATAAGAAATACATTTATCTAATATTAAAGAAATCTATTAAACAAACATTTTTAGAAAATATTTAACAAATATTTAATGTTAATTGTATAGTTAGTTAGAAGTGTAGATACAACTTGTTTGACGCCCATTTTTCCTACTTCAGATTTGGCCTGTGCCAGCGAGGAAGATCAAAATTTGCATTGAGAAACTCTTGAAGTTTGAGCAATTATCGAAAATGTTGCAGTCTTAATGGAAACTCGTTTTTGGGTGAATGAGGTACGTACATTTTTATATTCGGAAGAAAAGAAAATTTTAGATCGCGAACTATGGAAATTTAAACAACACTACTTTATTTTTTACCCTGGGGACGGGGGAGGGAGGGGGTTGTTTGCTAATCTCGCGTTTGAGATTTGTCGCACGAAAATGTCAAACGCCTCAACAAATTAGTGTTCTCATTTTGACGTCAGTGTCGCATGCGAGATATTCCCATCTTTGTAAAGCTTTTGGATTTTGATGCCGCTTCGCGAGATTTTGTGGAATGAAAAATGTCGATGCCGTGATTGGAGAACGCCCCCCCTGGTTTCAAATTACATAGTACAAGAACGAACTTACTTATTCTTCACCGGCGATCTCGGCGGTCTTGTAGGAGGGTTGATCATCCCATGTGAGTACTGCTCGTGTTGTCTCAAGCTCATTCTTTTAGGGAACGCGTCTTCGCAGATCTGACATACGTACTTGGGCTTCTCGGCGCGATGGTGAGCCTTCAACTTGTGGCACATCAAGTTGGACATCTGGTTGAAGCCTTTGTCGCAGATGTCGCATTTGTATGGGCGCTCGTTGGTGTGGGTGAAGATGTGGTTACGAAGGTTGCCTGTAAAGTGTGTTAATATAATATGTTGTCAGCTAAATTGGAGAGTGCATTTAACAGGATTTAGATTTTCATATTATTTTTTGCTCAGTGGACAGTGGAGTCGCACACTTGTGCGACATGGGCTTCACACAGTCTGACTGTCTGCAGTTGGTTATGGTTACAGAGATGCAATTCAAGCATGTCAATTTCAGACGAATCTATTTATACCGGGTGTTTCAAATTCGACCCTCACCATTGGGATAAGGTGAGAGATACATAGTTACCTAAGTGGGGAAAAAGTTGCGTATTTAAGTAACTAATAAAATGCCGCTTAGAAAAGTTTGAAACTAAAAGTATTTCCAAAGATAGACGGAAAAAACCGTATTTTCCCAAAATCCTTTTAATTTTTTCCTGACTTCATTTATAGTGGGATTTCAAAATAAATTACACAGTAACATCGTCACTTTTTCTCCTCTACAAGATGCATTCAATATGGCGTGTCGTACCTTGTCCTCCAGCATCAACTTTATTTTCCCTTATAAACGCCATAATGGATTTTCACTCACGTAAACAGTTTTCAATTTTGATTCTGAAAAAGTATGACATGCATACATTGACAAACCTCAGTTATTATAAAAAAAACAGAGGTATCAGGTACGCTTTGAAATTATCAGATTGTCATTTGTTTCGTAAACATGACCAGACCTCAAAATTAAGCCGGTGCTGCCAATCGATGGAATACTTTGACATTTTCTAATATTTATTCAAAGAAATACCGGCAATACCGTAGAGATTATAATAATATTCTTCATTATTTAAATTACTTAGTACCTGATTAAATAGTTATTGAAGATTATGTTCTCTATTAGTTAAATCAATTAGTTCCTGATTTGATCTGGTTTTCTGCAAGTAGCTTAGTATTTCATTAATTGTTCCTAATATGAACATTATTTTGATAAATAGGTGTTTTTGCCTTTTTTATTATCAAAGTAAGTGTATACCTATACAGACTAGTAGATACGAGGGATGTCTTTTAAGTTTTGCATATAGAAACATGGTAGGCCGCGCGGATCGAACGTCAGTACTGAATCTTAACCTCACTCTTTAGTAAACCTCAATTCAAAAAACTTTACATGAAGAATTAGGAGTAAGAAAATTAGTTTCTCGTTGGATACCTCACCTGTTGACTGAAGAGCAGAAAGCAGCCAGGGTTAATTGGTGTCAAAAAGCGCTTCAATTTCTGAAGCTCAAAAATGTGAACAGCATTGTTAGTGGTGATGAATTGTGGATTTACTGTTATGAACCAGAAAATAAACGACAGTCGGCTGTTTGGGTGATCCAAGGTGAAGAAAAGCCAACAAAAGTCATCCGTTCTCAAAGTGTTTCGAAAAAGATGGTCGCGACATTTGTGTCAAAAGCGGGTCATATTGCAACAATTCCTCTTAATGAGCAAAGAACTGTTACTGCGGATTGGTATACCACCATTTGTTTGCCAAAAGGCATCACCGAGCTTCGAAAAATCAACCTTGAAAGAAGAATCATCCTCCACCAAGACAATGCAAGCTCGCACACAGCCCAAAAAACAAGGCAGTATTTAACGGAAGAAAACGTGGAATTATTGGACCATCCTCCAAATAGTCCCGATCTAAGTCCTAACGATTTGTTTACTTTCCCGAAAATTAAAAACAGAATGCATGGTCAAAGGTTCCAGTCACCAGAAGAAGCAGTTGACGCATTCAAAAAATGCCGTTTTGGATCTGCCAGCCAACGAGTGGAATACGTGCTTCGAAAATTAGTTCGAGCACATGCAGATGTGTATTAATCTTCGTGGAGAATACTTCGAAAAACAATAAAGTCATTTAAAACTACCTACCGTGTTGTTTTATTTCCATATGCAAAACTTAAAAGACATCCCTCTACTAGTTTCAGTTATTTGTAAGTGTAAGTCCATTTTTTTCTGTTAATACTGTATTTATTTTATAATATAATTTAATAAAATCAACTATAATGATTTTAATATTATCAACTTACTAAAAAATCAAAAAAAACTATTCCCCAGACGCAACCCGACATTTATTTTCTTGCTTTTCTACTTATTCTAGCGGCAAAAGGCGAACTGTAAGTTGGTTTAAATGCTTCTTTTTTTTCATGAGAGCTCTAGGTTTTTGTCAAAAAAGTGTGTTTAAGTAAAGGGGCCACGAGATTTTGTGAAAGGGGGAACGATCAGAGAAAATCAGAGGCAATATAAAAAATTAACAAAATGTTCTTTTTATAGTACTTCAATTGTAACTCCAAAGGTCAACTAGCAGTTTGCGCTACTCAAGGCGGTACTGTTGGCCACGCTCATGGGGGGGGGGCTTTTCGGAACCTCTGATAACCTCGCACGGGACTTTTGCAGCTCAAGTGTTCGTAGCACTGAATTGAACATAACAGAGTTTCGAAGACTGCGAAGAAGGGATATAAGTCGAGCAGTGAGCAATGTACAAAAAAGTCAGGCTTTGCCTGCAAAATAACGGACAACATTTTAAACATCTGATCTGCGCTTATTTATGATTATTATTTTTATTGCCACCAATAAAAAATCATGACCAGCTAAGGAAATAAATCGCTGAATTTAAGACTGAAAACTCTATATGAAAAGAGAAAGTTGATATTGGAAGCGAAAGAAAAAACCTCAATTCAAAAATTTACTACGCCATCTTGTAGTGGAGAAGAAGTAACCCCGATAGCACGAAATATTCATTAAATATTGATTTAATATTTAATAATATTTTTATCTTACTTAAATATTTGTTTATTTAAACAAATATTAAATAAATATTTTTAATATGATATTTTACTAAATATTTATTCAATATCTTTCAAATATTTCAAATACAATATTTCTTTTATAATATTCATTAAATATTTACTTTTCAGTCAATGGAAAATATTAAATCTCCAATATTTAGAAAATATTCATTAAATATTTTCGGCTACGGCGCATGTGCGTGTGACCTCGAGCGACCAATGGGATAATAGCAAGTCGGCCTGAGGTGACCTGTTTGCCGGCAGCCATTTTATCTGTGACTTTCACTATGATAGCGTGCTTCCTGTGTACCTCCAAATGGTTCATTATTTGAGTGTTTTTTTTGTGGACACGGGTAAGTTTTTTGATAATTACATAGCTTAATTTATCTGACTGGTAAACATAATTGTGCCAGCTGAGTATAAAGGTATTCATAAGATCATAAATAACTAGCCCAGAAGTGTAAAAGTTATTTGGTATTGGTGGATTTATCTGAGAATGGATACGAAAATTATGTTCATAACATACCAATGAAAAGACATAATCGCAACGTGATGCAGATACATCAAAAATGCCTTTTTGAAATATCTCAGTTATTATTATTTTTGTCGTAGTTCGTTCAAAAATTTTAACGGTCGAAAATACAATACTTCTGTCGTTTGAATTATAATATAAAATCACTAAATAGTTATGGATAAGTTAGCTCCCTTACTAAAAAAAGTCACATTTCAACAACATCAATAAGTGTTAGTCAAAGGATCATGTTGTGCCCATGGACATTTTTCACCAATCACATACTAAATTTTCTTAAAAATTAACCAAATCTGGAACTATCATAGGCATAACATGTGGGGTCCTTTTACTTGGAGTAGCTCACGATGCTCAGCACCAATAAATGCACTGAAAAACAGCTTATATATTCAAGAATACTTCATAATTAGTAGGTTTGTTTTTTTTCAGAGGAGTGGACTTGCAAGATGCACAAGAGGCTTAGAATGTTTTTTTAATAATATTTTTCTAGCAAATTGAACCATTATATCTAGAATGAATTTTCTTTATAAACCCAATTTTATATAGGCATTCCTACAGGTTTCGCTAAAATAACCGATGAAGAAATTTCTATATACACTGAAAATATCTATCAGATTAATGTTTGAAAATCCATACATATTTACGAAAAATATTAGACATTTCATCAAAATATAAAATTGGTATTTAAAAATCATTCCTCATATATTTTCTAAATATGTATTTGGAAAAAATATCGAAAAAATATATGAATTATATACCTGTATATATATAACATCTGTAATGAATATTTTATAAATATATAAGAAATATATTTCTTGAATATTAAAAAATCTGTCGCTACAAATATTTATCAAACATTTTTAAAAACAATTAATAAATATTAAATGCTATCGGGGAACAATGACAACATGCAATTTATTTTGAAATCCCATTTCCAATACAGTCAAGAAAAAAAAAACGATTGTGAGATAAATCTGGCATGCGATACAAATGACTATCTGATAATTCCAGGGTCTACCTAGGAAATTCTGCTTTTTTAAATAACTAAGGTCTGGCAGTGTCAATGTATGACGTATTATACATCTTTAGAATCAGAATTGCAAACTGTGTTCATCTATGCAAAAATTAAATATGGTGTCTATAATAATAAGATAAAGCTGCTGCTAAAGGGCAAGGAACGAAAGTCATCTTGAAATTCTAATTCTGCCATTTTGTGGAGGAGATAAAGTGACAATGTTTATATGTAATTTATTTTTAAATCCCACTATAAATAATGTCAGGAAAAAATAAAACGATTTTCGTAGAACGTCAAGCTGTTACTTATGCACAATGTTTTGAGTTTTCCAAAGGCCATACCCACCTGTTTCTTCAAGACCAGACCTATTCCGCTCTGATGAGATGCTAATGAGCACGAAGCAGGGCTGTGCGTGGTTGGTCATCGTTACAGACACGGAAGGCAAACCTGACAAGTTCCTCGAAGGATCGCATGATTGAATCACAGGAAAAACCATTGCAGTTGTGATCTTCGGCTGGTTCGACAGTTTTACAGCTGGCTAGATTACTAATTATTGTTGTTGTTGTGTAAGGAACAAAAAAAGGAAAAAGTTGCTAGGCCTCGTCGCCCCGTTTTTTTTTAATTACAGGGTTTGTTCGGAAAGTAATAGGACTGATCCGATTTAAAAAAAATTATTCAGCCAATCGT